GCATTAACACAACATGCACACCAAATGTTGCATAATTTTGATTTTGACAACGCAGATATATTAATTAGGGAAACAAATTATCATAAAAGAAGAATACAAGAAATGATACAAATAAAAAAACATGCAAAAGCAGTAAATTTCAGATCAGATACCAACAACCTTAGCAACATTTACCAAACCCTAATAAAGCCATAAGTATGGAACACCCGGTACACTAGTGAAAAATTAAAACTGTTTCTGCTTATTTCAATACTTGCATACCACTCTCACAAATGTAGAAAATAATTCAGCCAAACTCAAGGTTTTCAAGAAGGCAAAGTCCGAAAAGGGCGTTGATTTTGACCAATCATGAGGTAAGTTTTCCGGTGTTTTTCTCTCCCAAAAGACATAATTTTTTTTCCTCAAAAACTGATTAATGTTTTAACACTTTGTAAATTATAATTTTTATACAGCATGTTTTAATTGTGAATTATTGTTTGTAGTTTGTGTAAATTTTAAATCTGATCGCGCTATTGTCTCGCCGAAACGTAATGAAATAAACGATGTTTCAAAATTTTTACTCCACACTTTGACTGAGACCCAGATAAGAATATCATAATAAATAGTTAATTCAATATTTAGGTAAATTATACCCATGGTCGAACGAGTCGACTTACATAAAGGAACCACCATTTTTTGCCGGAATGACCCGAGAACTGCCCCGCATCCAGGCTTTGGTCGGAGCGAAAGTGTTGCTTTTCCTGGGAGATTCCGTCACTACCGACCATATCAGTCCGGCCGGGTCAATTGGCAGAACCAGCCCGGCTGCCAGGTAACACCTGAATCTATAAGCGTGTGCATAGATGCAAACATTTTTGGTTTAAAGGTTCTTGGCTTTGAGAGGCTTAACGCCTCGCGAGTTCAACTCGTATGGGTCCCGAAGAGGCAACGACGCGATAATGGCCCGAGGCACTTTTGCGAATATTCGTTTGGTCAACAAGTTCATGAGCAAGCCTGGACCGAAGACTATTTATCTGCCCACCAACGAAGAGGTAGGCGCTTGCAGAATTTCATTTGTTGAGCTTTACATTGATGCTATCTGCTAGATGGACGTGTTCGATTGCGCCCAGCGCTACATCAATCAGCAAACCCCACTGATCATTATTGCTGGCAAAGATTATGGGTCGGGGTCCAGCAGGGACTGGGCGGCCAAAGGACCGTTTCTTCTGGTACGTTTCCATCTACATATCATTAATGCCGGCAGTGACCGATCAGACCTGGTACCAAATTAGCTGCGGTTTTCGGGGGTAATGCAAATAATGCAACTTAGTAATCAGAGAAGTACAGGGACTGAAAGTTAYTTTTTAATGAAGTTTTTTCAAATTACTTTTGGCCTCCCCATGCACAAAARTCTAGGGGATTAAAATCCGTCCTTCGGKCTGGCCATGGCGGTTGACTCTCACGCRCAGTGAGAAACGAGMGGGGGWCAATMCTGCATAAATAATATATCCAGCCTTATGTTTAGGTCTTTATGTTCATGGAAAGACTGAAAATACATACACTTTGTTGTCGGGGTGTTCAGAGTCAAATTAAAAACTTAAAAAGGAAGATAGTTAAACAACATGATCTTCGTAAACTGAAAGAACCACTAATAAAAGAACAAGTCAGAGTCCGCTTGAACAATGAAATTAATTCACTTGCAAACGTCAGATATGAAGAACAGCTCAATCACCTCAGCACAGCTATAGAAATTATTAAAGATGACTTACTAAAGCCAAATGAAACGAAAATGAAATCTTGGATGACTGACGAGGTTTTGCAATTGATGGAGGAAAGACGGAAGATAAAGCATGGCAGCGTAAAATACAATGAAACACACAAAATAATAAAAATGAAGATTAGAGAGACTAAAGAAACGGAAGTCAGGGATATGTGCACGGAAATAGAAACTACAAGCCAAACACGATAGTTTTAACATTCACAAAAAGGTCAAAGAGCTGACGGGGACATATGCAGACATAGACAAATAACGACATTAACAAACACTGAAGGTAAGACAGTTATCGATAAAGATGACTTAAAGACGGCATGTAGAAAATACATTCAACAACTGTTTAACGACACACGACCTGAACTGCCTGAACTAGCTTTACAGGATCACACATTCTAATTGATGAAGTAGATGCAGCAGTAAAATCCATGAAAGAAGTCATCTCTGGGACCAGACAATATAAACGCAGAGTTCTTAAAACTTCTGGACAATGACAGTGTAAAGTGGATGACTTCATTTTTTAATAAAATTTATACATCTGGAAAAATTCCCCATGAGTGGCTTAAATCGGAATTTGTCACCCTGCCAAGGAAACCGGAGCAAAAAATGTGAGGACTATAGAACAAGAAGCCTTATGAACCATCTATTGAAACTATTTCTCTAAGTCATCCACAGGAGAATATACAAAACTTGCGAAGACCAAATATCGTCTGCACAGTTTGGGTTCCGAAATGCAGCAGGTACCAGAGAGGCTATATACTCCATTCAGGTATTATTCCAAAGGTGCAGAGACATGAACTGTTATGTTATATGTTATATGCATGTTCCATTGACTACCAGAAGGCCTTTGATAGAGTGCGACATCATAAAATGATAGAAATCTTGAAGAGTGCGGGTTTGGTCGGTAAAAACATAGCGATAATAACCAACTTATACTGGAATCAATCTGCTGCAGTAATGCCCGGTTTCTGGTAGATTCCCCGTATTGGTTCGATAACTATCGGTCCGTTAAAGTTGTAAGTTCTATAACTTATGGTAGGTTTCTCAATGCGTCTTTACGTCAGAGCTAGTGGTCCATAGCTATCGAGCGGATAAAGTAGGTAAAGTTTGATAATCTGTGGGAAAAGCCATATAACGAAGAAGAAGACGGGTTAGAGTGACTTGCTTTGCCTCGTGTTATCAGTCT